GCGCATTAGGATGTTAAACGCTAGACAAACAAGCATTAGATTTAACCTATAGATAGCTAACGTACATTTGCCTTAATAGTTTAAGACATTTAGATAAGGTGAAAAGAGAAGAACAGGGATTAGGGCTAGGTTATATATAGGAGGGTTGGTCTGTGCGCAAGCGAAGTGGCACGGGATTAGCTAGACAAGCCCCCTAGGCTCTAGCAGGTTAACTAATTAACTTTTCGCAAGTCTACAAGCCTGCGCGGAAAATTATGCCTAGCTTAACTGTGACGGTGTTGCTCAAGCTCCGCTGCTAGTCACATGATCTCGCTAAGGGTTAAGCGAGCACGCTAGCGCCTTGGAACTGCGCAAGCTTTTCTCTCGCGAAAACCCTTCGCCTCCTTCACTCCCTATCCTAGTTTAGCTGAAATAGAGCCGACCTACTCTACCTCGCTTCCCTAGCTCCATACAGTAGTAGAGACAGTGCTTGTCATCACATTATCAATCATTATAGTATATTATATACAATAGATTTAGAAGCGCATGTTAGAGTTGCTTAAATTAATGTTGTAGTCGCTTTTAAAGCTTCTATAGTCTAAATCCTCTGTTAGAGGGCTTAATAATATAAAATCTTCTTAAAAAGAGTTATTTACAAAGCTGTTAACTTATTTACACTAGATTCTCTTTTTATGCTTCTTAGCTGTCGCTGCACATATTAAGATCTAATAATTCTATTTATAATAAGTTATGTTTATAAAAAAGAAGAGTTTATTATTATTATAGTGTTTGTATAAGGCTTTACCTACTTTTTACCTTTTAACTTGTTTATTTAAATTATACACCTAGGCTGTAACTTTACTATATACACGAAAAAAGTTTACTTAAGCTTATTATTCTAGCAACACTTAATTATTACGCAAGTGTTCTTTATATAGATAGGCCCTTCTTAAGAGACCTAACGCTGTATGTGCTATTATTAAGCCTTGCACACTTACTTAGCTGCCTTAGTATAAAGCAGCTTCTTTTTAAACTTAGCATTTACTTATACCTATGCAAAAGTACTTTTAAAGGTCTTCTAAATGCCTACTTTTAAAGAGGTAGGTACAGACGCAAGAGTAACATTTTGCTGCTAGCGTAGTATATAAATTATTATTAGTGTCTTCTACTTCTTATCTCTAAGCCTAGACAAAAGTGTATAGAGGTAATAAGCTTCCTACTTAGCTTTTTAACACTTATATTAAATATAACTTAGGCGCTAAGCTTTTTTAGTAAGTAAAGGCTTAAATCTTTTACAATAAAAGCTCTTTTGTTTAGTCTAGGTATACTAGATTATAAAATAAGTTATTAAATAAATAATAACTAATAGTCTAACACGTTATAAGCTTTTTCTATGTATATAAAGCTAAAAGCACTTTTTCTATGTATATAAAGCTAAAAACACCTTTTCTATGTATATAAATCTAAAAGCACTTTTTCTATATATAGAATGCTAAAAGCACTTTTTCTAGATTAAAAGAAATAATGCTTATTTACTTAAAAGTACTTAGATTTATACACTAAGTAAACATTTTAAACTTAATTAAATAAAAAAAAGCTAAAATTTAGTTCTTATAAATAGGTTTACACTAGTTCTTATAGTAAAGTTAAGCCTTTGCCTATAGTACTATTTTATAAGCTAGAAGCAGCTTACATCTAATAGTTAGAGAAAGTAAGTTATATAAAAAAAAAGTATATAATTAAATCTAATTATTATAAACATATTTAACTAGCTTATAGGTAGCGTAGCTTTTATAACTATATATAAGAAGTATTCTCTAGGCGTTTCTTATATAAGTTTTTACTATATAATTAAAATGCTAGATAAATTTGTAAGATAGTTAGCTATTACTATACATTTCACCTTAATCCTGCACACGAACTGTAACTGTACTACTCGGGCCCCGACGGGTTGACTAATCAACTTTTTAGAACAAAAAGGCCTGCGCGCAGCGCGGGCCTACAAGCTTAACAATTATACCTAGCTAAACAATTAATTAATTAAATCTATTTAAAACGCGTTAAGTTAACGCGCTAATTAAACTCTACTTACGTTTAATGTCTTCTAGTTGATCTACAGAGTATAGAGCTTCTGCAGCATAAGAATCTAGATCTAGCTTTATACACCTACGTTAACAGCCTACTCTACTAGCAACTTAAACAGGCCTACTAAGGCAGGCGTAATTAATTTATGTGTTAAAAAATAAACTAAGTCTTTAAAAGTAACTAAAAGGTTACACTAAAGCTATTTATAAATTATATTTATAATATTCGCTTTAGTGTGTAACATAAGCTTATATAGAGCACAATAAACGCGCTGCTTGTGTAGGCGTATAATTAGAGATAGAGAGCCTCCTCTAGTAGGTAGAAAATAGCCTACTAATTAGCTTAAAAGACTTCTATAATTTATATAATAATAATAAAAGCTTATTAAGGTTACTTAAAAGCTTACTTAGCAGCTTGTTACTATTCTAAAATAGTTTAATAGCTTTAAGAAAAAGGTTGATAAGTATAGAATTATACTTTAAGATATTTAAAATTTTAACAAATTTAGTAACATACATTATAGGCAAGTTGCTTACACACCTAAGTTGCTTACTTTTACTAAGGCTCTACTAAACTAATTTTTCTACACTAATGTATTACTAACAACACTACTTAAATGCGCTAAATAACATTAGATATAGCTTACACTTTTAGCTTTTAAATAAAATATAACACTTTTAAAGCAACATACTATAGCTATATATAAAGTTTTTTAAAAAAAATAATAAATAACTAACATGCTAGATAACTTTTATAAGCTAATTTTAGAGCTAACTTATAAAACCTAAGTAATAATAAGAAGTAAGTAATTAGTAAGCACATACTTAAGTAATATATATAAAAGTTTTCTACTTAGCTAGCAGCTATAGCTAATATAGCTAATTCTTTATACGCTAAGCGTAATTTAGACTATATTAGCATAAACTAGTCTAGTATATTTATAAAGTGTTCTTTAAAGCTTAAAGTAAAGTTTTAAGTATAAGTATAGTTAGTAAATATCTAGTCTATTATAAAGCCTATTTTATTAAAGTTATATAAGTTGTTATTTTAAATACTATACTTAGCTTTAATATTTTTATAAGGCTAAACTAGCTTTAAATTACTTTAAATTTTTATAAAAAGCTTTTTTATAGTTATATTTATACTTAAACTTTACTTTAAGCTTTAAATAATACTTTATAAATATACTAGGCTTGTTTATGCTAATATAGCCTAAATTATACTTAGCGTGTAAAAGATTAGCTATATTAGCTATAGCTGCTAGCTAAGAGGAAAATTCTTATATATATAGCTTAAGTATATCCTTAATAATCACCTACTTTTTATTATTACTTAGCTTTTATAAGTTAGCTATAAAATTAGCTTGTAAAAGTTATTTAGTATATTAGTTATTTATTATCTTTTAAAAAGCGTTATACACAGCTAAGTATATTACTTTAAATGTGTTATATTTTATTTAAAAGCCTAAAGTGTAAGCTATATCTAATGTTATTTAGCATATTTAAGTAGTGTTATTAGGAATGCATTAGTGTAAGAAAAGTAGTTTAGTATAGTCTTAGTAAAAGTAAGTAACTTAGGTGTGTAAACAACTTGCCTATAATGTATGTTATAAAAATTAGTGTTATAAAGAATTAATATGTGTATAGTAAACATAGATCTCTTTTCTATATACTATATAGTAATAATAAGAAGCTTGTTACTTTTATTAAAGTAGTTTTTACTAGTAGAGAATTTGTAGCTTCTATAATAATTATTAAAGCCCTAAGTATTATTAAAAGGTAGTGCATAGAGCTGATAGATAACTACTAAATTAGTAGTAGTAATACGCATAGAGGGTGGTGCAGAGGTTTGTTACGAACCACAGCTAACGACACAGGATTGAGGCGCTTATAGACACGTTAGTAGCCTAACGGTGTAACATAAGTGCGGGGCTAACACTTAACTATCCATGCGTCACGTGACATAACGCCGCCCAGAACTCCGGCATCGTCGATGCCGCCAAGCATCACAGAGGTAAGTCTACTATCACTATCAAGGGGTATAAATAAGGACATTCTTTACCGGTAGATATCTCCATGTGTCCATTACTGAATTTACACCTTATCTTGAGAAAGTAGTCTTCTTAGTCTCTGTGACTGATACAGTGTGTGAATCGTTGTTGTATATCCTCATCGATATATTCGATACAGTAGCTCAACCGCCCGAACTCCAGCAAAGGCTAAACCGACGAAAGGGATTAGCTTCCTCTCCTCCGACAATAACCAAGTTAAATACGACCCTTTAACACTGTTTCGCGATTCGGATGCTGGCGCGATTCGCTAGCCGACGAATGACTCTATATGGTATAGAGATACCGTCTTGAATCCTGACACTGCTCGACAGCGCAGGCATACTATGAAGACAAAAGATCTTCTTACTAAGGCTCTTTACCGCTTAGCACTGGGTTGGCAGAATCACCGCCTTATGCGAAGTCTCCGCTTTAGGCGCTTACGTCGTTTAGATCGTTCACCTCGTTCACCTCGTTTACGCCGTTTACGCCGTTTATTGGGGCTGGGTTGATGACACGGGAAAAGCCACCAGCACCAGTGCGGACCCCTGAAGATAAGTTACAGATTTTTGACCTTTTGTCGCCGCCAGGCCTTTATTATTGGCACGAGCTACAATCCTACCGTTCCTACATTTATGCATTCGATATAAGCCACCTTGATAAAACTTTCGTTGAACAATAAGCATCCTATAAGTAAGGAATGTATTTCTCGATGACAGTTGCTCATTACGTCTCGCAAGTTATCCATTTACTCCTCGTGTCCGTCACCATTCATTCAACGCTATCGCTATTTCTAACCTCGAACCGCCTACTTAAATCGACTATCTCTATCTAATCTCGAACTATCAACTTAAATCAACGATCCACATCTGTTTCCTCTTCTCCGAAGATGTCTGACTCTACCGATGACTGCAAGGCGGTCTCCCCCAGTTGTCCCGTTGAGGCGACCGTATACGGCTACGCTCCGAATCTTGGTGGCAATGCTTTCTACGCCGTTGTATTCGCCATCTGCGCCCTGATACAGTTTTATCATATTTTCCGGTTCTGGCGGTCCTGGAAAGTCTTTTCCATTATGACCTTCATCGGCTGTGTTGGTGAATGCTGTGGCTATATCGGTCGCTTGTTCCTGCACAAGAACCCATGGAATGGCGCGGCTCTGCCGATCCAGCTGGTGTTGCTCATGGTCTCACCGTCCTTCCTGGCTGCAGCGTTGTACACAACACTGAGGACGCTGGTACAATACTTTGGCCCGGAGCATACGAGGATGCCTGCGCGATTTTGGACATGGCCCTTCGTCACCGCCGATCTGGTGGGCTTCTTCTTGCAGTGTGGTGGCGGCATCCTGGCGTCCACGGCCGAAAAAAATCCCAGCCTAGGGTCCGTTGGTAACACCATTATGATCTTCGGTGTCTCGTTTCAGGCCGTCATTATGGCAATTGCGGGTCTCCTCACGGCCGACTTTACCTTGAGGATTGGTAGGAGACATGGTACTCATGTATTTGCGGATCTACCGAAAGACCTCAGGACTTTCCTACTGGCGATGACGGCAGCGTTCGTCTTGATTTTGGCAAGATGCATTTATCGGTGAGTGAGATATCGAAGTTGGCCATGCTGGGTGATAGAAATAATGCTGATAAACTGACAGTATTCCTGAAATGGCTGGCGGTGTTGGTGGACCCCTGATGCGAAAAGAAGCCGACTTTATGATTTTTGATGGCTTGTGAGTCTTCTGCTGGGTTTTCAGCCCACACCTTTGGTAGTTACTCCCGCTCACGCTTGAGCTAGGTTGATTTTACTCGCCGTCGTCCTCCAATCCGCTGTACATCCAGGCATCTTCGCCGGCGCCATGCAAGACTGTACAACCCACCTTTACGAACTGAAAGCCCCGCTAGTCGTTAATGACAGATCTGAGTTGCATGAACTTGACCAGGCATGAGCAGCATCTTCATAGGCATGATCAATGTGCGCATAGGCGTTAGGAATGCCCGACTGTTGATATTCGTCATAACATAGAAGCTTAGAGGCGTAGGGCAGCTCGAATAAAGTAGTGGGGGGGGGAAGCAACACGAGTGGAGAAATGGCAGGTTTAAAGTTTGGGTGCTAAGTTAAACGTGTAAAGTAGGTATAGACAATTTCTTAACTAGATCGATATAAAGCAATCTTCTTCTTTGCGTTAACAGATGCCTTGTGCTATTTTGTAGTCTATAATGCGTGAAATGGTGTATTAAACACTACTTAAGCTGAACGTGGTACAGCTCGGCGCGTTTCGTAATGAAGTTTGTACAGTTGGCTGCAGCCGCAGGTTGTTTGCGGATTGTCAGAGTCTCTGAGCAAAGTACACATTAGCTTTGACGGCTGGACAACAAAGGGAGGCAAGAGAATTTATTTTTTTTTTTTTTTTTTTGTTAGGATGCACACTACGTTGACACTTCTGGGGCTGTTGTTGACTTGCCTATCGCGCTGCCGCAGCTCGTAGGTACACATACTGGCGAGAGGATAGCTGACGTGGTGTCGCAAACTCTGCAGTCCTTCGGCATCAATCGCGGCAAACTTGGCTGTTTTGTGCTCGATAACGCGTACAACAACGATACTGCAGTCAACAGGCTTGCCGCAATGTACAACTTTGTCGCTGCTGAAAGGCTGCTATGCGTGCCAGGCAGACATAGATGGTGTTTGTGGAAGAAAGGGCAGGCCTCTGGGGACAGCTGGTCTTGTTTTGCAGGATGAAGTGGGGCGGAACGGAACAACTAGTTGTTCAGGGTTACAGCAGACTGTTAGCTGGTGAAGGGAAAAAACTAATCGCTAATTGCTTAGAAGCATTTTAGGTATAAAACACTATAGTATTTTACTAGGCAAAACATACTATAACGCATTTATACAATGTTTTTTAAAGATCTAAGGAGTAAAGGGTTGTTTTATGTAACTGTATTGCAACTGCCCTTTATAGCAACTGCCTTCACTACAGCGTTGTACAATAATTGTAGATACTCACCGCTACTACTACTCTTCCACATCTACTACTACTACAGCAGTAGCAGTAACAACAACAGCAATAACAGCAACAACAGCAGCAATAGCAACAGCAGTAGCAGCAGCAAAAACAACAATAATAATAATAATAATATAAGTATTAAGCTTATAGTATTTTAATTACTCTTATTATATAAAGCTAACACTTAAAATAAGGCTTTTATTCTTTATAATGCTGCTATTACTGCTGCTAACTAAGCTAGCGCTAATGTTAATTTTATTCTATATATAGAACAGCAGCAGCTAGCCCTACTAGCTTATAGTCTATAGGCCTGTGCATTGCTAGCCCTTCTAAGGCAGAATGTAGAGTTTATATATAGTAGTATATTCTCTTATTAAATAGCTTTGCATAAGCCTTTATATATTAACACTATCTTTATATAATCTTATAGAAGGGTAGTAGACAACTTATATAGCGCATGCTATAGCGCTGTCTTAGGCCCACAACTGTTCCTAGAGTGCTGCTGCGCTAAGGGGCACTTTAGTAAAGCATGTAGTAATTACAAATAGCATAACTATACTAGTTACTACTCTATAAAAAAAAAAAAGTAATAATAAGCTAGCTAGTAAACCTCTACATTTAGGCTATAACTTAAAGATTAGTAGTGCTAGTAATAGTTTATAGTAGTAGCTTATTTTTATTAAAAATAAACTTACTAAGGCTTTAGCTAATAATATAATAGTTTTAGCTTAAAGTATATATAATATTTTTTTTAAAAGCAGTAAAGCGCCTTAGCTATAAAAGTTATTTATAGCACTTAGCTATGTAAAAATGTCTATAGCACTTAGTTAAAGCCTATACCTCTACACAGTAACTAGAATAAGTAGCTATTAAATAGTAAAACTAAACTAGGCTAGTAAATAAAAAAAATAAATTAAATTATTATATAAAATATACTACTTCTTAATACTATAAAGCTAATAAGGCACTTAAGAATTAACATTAAA